GAAACTGGTTGTTCTGTAACTATGTATATTACTCTGTGACTCCTTAAAGTTCTCTGTGACTCAGTACAGAAAGCCAAACCTAGGCTAGTTACAAAAGTTCTCTTCTTCTGGAATACTTCATAGCTTAATGTTAGTTGGATGTTATTTGTAAATAAAGGCCACTATTTCAGAATGTACTGTTAACGGAACTTCCACACAGCCACGGCTCAAAAAACCAACAGTCACAGTGAACAGCTCTTTGTCTTCTTCTTCGTTGGTGTCTCCTGCAGGTGGAGTTCGTGTGTTATGTGTTTCACGGGGAGCAGTCCCGCTGGCGCCCTCTAAACCTGGAGCTGGTATTGCAGCGCTGCAGCGAGGTGCAGCACTGGGTCGCCACGGAGATCCTGCAGTGCCAGTCGCTGCCGAAGAGGGTCCAACTGCTCCGCAAGTTCATCAAGATCGCAGCACTGTGAGTCCCGATAGTGACCGAGAACCCATCGTATGACTCATTCACATCACATCACATCACATCATCTGGTTGTATTGTGTATTACCTGTCCTAACAGGTGTGTTCTGTGTGTGTGTTACAGCTGTAAGCAGCAGCAGGACTTGCTGTCTTTCCTCGCTGTGGTTCTGGGTCTAGACAACCCTGCTGTCAGCAGACTGCGACTCACCTGGGAGGTACGACTCACCTGACGCTGCTCAACTTCACCTGGAGACAGCACACACACCTGCTGTGTTTATCCACCATGGTGTGATGTGATCAGAACGTACACAGAAGAACCTAGAAGCTAAATCTAAGCTAATAGAACAGAGAAGCTAACTGTAAGCTAATGGTACCTCGATGCCTATTGCTGCATCAGTGAGGTCTTCAGTTCCACACACACCGTATGACATTGTTTACATCACATGGTCTCAGGTTCATACGCTGATCACTTCCTGTAGTTGATGTGAATTCATTATTTCATTTATTGTGTGTGTGTGTGTGTGTGTTGTGTTCAGGGTCTCCCGGGGAAGTTCAGGAAGCAGTTTCAGCAGTTTGAGGGCGTCGCGGTGAGTAAAATATGTTTTATTTATGATCTGATCTGGTTCATAAAGATGAAGGTTATCATTACTTTAACTACTGATAATGCTAGCATACTTTTACTTTAACTACTGAGGAGTATTTTCACAGTATTAGTACTTGTACTGCAGTAAAGGACCTGAGTACTTCTAATCCTGCAGGACCCGTCCAGGAACCATAAGTCCTACAGAGACCTGATCACCAGCCTGAGACCTCCACTGATCCCCTTCACTCCTCTGCTGCTCAAAGGTGAGTCTGGACCTGAGACCACGTGATCACACCAACAACCAATCAGAAGCCTCCTGATAGTCACGTGACCATTCCCTTGTTGCCACGGTCCCCTGAGAGTCTCTCCTGAACTCCTTGTGATCGTTTCTCTTATTGCTCCTCTGAGACGACTTTCCTCCTCCAGCTGTGGACCAGATGTGAAGCCGTGTTAGCGACGTTAGCTCCTCCTCGCTAATTAGCACCTCTGGCTAATCAGCTGCATGTCGCTGTTAACACACACACACACACACACACACACACACGTTCAGTGTGAAAGGACTTTAAATTAGATTACTGCACACACTGAACGCCTCTTACAGTGTGTGTGAGAGAGAGAGA